TGCCTTCCCCCCAGGGATCGCCGCCAAGAGATCCTCGGGGAAACGGGTCCCGAACTCTTTCGCCCCGTTCTCGGGCTCCTGGGGACCGTCAACAAGCGGCTCAGGATGCAAAGCTGGTCCCGCAGGAAGGCCCCCGGGGCATCCGGGGCCCGCTTCCCCGAGGCTCCGGTCCCTATTCACGCTGAGACGAGGATGGGCGCGGAGGGAGTGGTCCAGGCGCGCGCGGGCGAGTATTGGGGCGACGCCGTCGTCGACGGCGCCGTGGACACTGGCAACAACGCCTGGGCGGCGCTAGCGTTCGCCCACTACGCCGCCGCGGCCGGCGCGAGGTCCCGCCCAGAGGCCGGGTGCTACGCAGCAGTCGGACGGGACATCTTGGAGGCGTTGGCCCGCGCCGCCATGTGTAGCGACGCGCTGGGCGGCTACCTGGGGCGGCTCCCTCCGTACGAGGACCGGAGGCGACCTTCGTCCTCCTCCTCCTCCTCCTCTTCCTCCTCCTTCTCCTCCTCCTCCTCCTCCTCCTCTGGGATCCCGACCGTAACATTGGCGACGACGATAGGGGCAAATAGCCCAGGGGCGGACATTACACGTATTCGCCCGGGAGGCTCGCCGAAGGCATGGACCATCGACGCCCTGGGCCAGTCGCCCTTATCTCCGCCCCCGTGAGGACAACTACCGCTCCACGGAGCACAACATCGACATGGCGGCGCTCGCGCAGGCGCTGGGCGACACCGCAGTCGCAGCTCACGCCGAGCGTTTCGTGCAGCAGATGCACGCGCGCAACCCGGGGTATCCACAGGCGCGCTCCGTCATCACCTCCGTCATCACCGTCATCATCATTGTACATCGCCATCGCCACACGAAGTCATCATAGCATTTTTCATAGTGATTATCGTCATCGTCATATCCATGAACGTCATCATCATCACCACCACCATCGTCGTTAGAATCGTCTTCCGCCACCACCACCACCATCACCATCATCATCAGCATCAGCATCATCATCATCACCACCACCATCGTCGTTATAGTCTTCTTCCGCCACCACCACCATCACCACCATCATCATCTTCACCATCATCATCGTCACCATCATCATAATCGTCACCATCATCACCATCTTCACTATCATCATCATCGGCATCATCATCACCATCATCAGTATCATCATCAATCATAACATCATCATAATCATCAGCATCAGTATCAGCATCATCATCAACACAATCATTATAATCATAATCAGTATCGTCATCATATCATTTTCATCAGCAGCATCAGCAGCATCAGCATCGTCATCATCAATCAGCATCATACGAATAGAAGTAGTGTCCATAGTAATAATACTCATCATCATCAGCATCATCAGCATCACCATCATCGTCATCATCAGCATCATCACCATCATTATCATAATCATCAATAATACCATCATCAGCACCATCATCATCAGCATCATCATCATCATCAGCGTCATCATCAGCATCACCATCATACTCATCCTCATCATCATCCTCATCAGCATCATCATCATCATCGTCGCCGTCGACGTCGTCGTCGACGTTGTCGCCGTCGTCATCGCCTTCAGCATCAACATGATCATCAGCATCGTCATCATTATCGTCCTCATCGTCATCACCATCACCACCATCGTCATCATTACCATCATCATCACCATCAGGATCACCATCGTCATCATAAACATATTCATTGTTATTATCATCATCATTCGCACCAGCTTCAACAGCATCATCATCACCATCATCATCATCATCATCATCATCATCATCATCATCATCATCATCATCATTATCAGCATCATCATCATCATCAGCATCATCAGCATAATTAGTAGCATCAACACCATTATCATCATCGTCAGCATCATCATCATCAGCATCATCATCAGCGTCATCGTCATCATCATGATCGTAATCATATCGTCGTTATCGCCATCGTCATCATCAGCATCATAATCACCATCATCATCACCATCATCATCATGATCATCACGAGCATCATCATCATCATCATCATCATCATCGCCATCATTATCATACTCATCGTCCGCATCAGCATCATCATCATTCTCATCATCACCATCTCCATCCCCATCATCATCACCATCAGCAGCGTCATCATCATCATCATCATCACCATCATCATCATCATCATCATCATCATCATCATCGTCGTCGTCGTCGTCGTCGTCGTCGCCGTCGCCGTCGCCGTCGCCGTCGCCGTCGCCGTCGCCGTCGCCGTCGCCGTCGCAATCGCCATCGCCATCGCCATCGCCATCGCCATCGCCATCGCCATCGCCACCACCATCCTCGCCATCATCTTCATCTTCGCCCTCGTGCTCCCATAGGCGTATTCCATGGGCACGGGCAAGGAGCTGCGCTGCGACAGCTCGCAGCCCATGTCTGCCCCCGTTGCCACGGATGTGCAGTTCTGGAGCCTCCTTGCACCCTGAGTGGGAGGATGGGAGGTGAAGGGGGAGAATAGGTGGAGATTGGGAGAGGAGCGCAAGGAGGAGAGAAAGGAAGAGGAGGAGGAGAAGGAGGAGGAGGAGGAGAAGGAGGAGGAGAAGGAGAAGGAGAAGGAGGTAGAAGAGGAGCAGGGAAGACGGAGGGGTGAGGAGGGAGGAGGGAGGAGGGGGGAGGGGGGAGGGAGGAGAGAGGAGCAAGGAGCAAGGAGGAAAGAGGAAGGATGAAGGAGGAAGGAGGAATGAAGAATGAGGAAGGCGGAAGGAGGGAGGAGGAAGGCGGGAAGTGGAGGAGGAGGAGGAGGAGGAGGAGGAGGGCGGAGGAGGAGCCAGAGGAAGAGGAGCCGGAGGAGGGGGAGCAGAGGGAGGAGGAGGAGGAGGAGGAGGAGGAGGAGGAGGAGGAGTGGGAGGAGGAGGAGAAGGAGGGAGGAGACGATTGGAGGAGATGGAGGAAGATCAAGAAGCACGATGATAATACAAACACTAGGTTCTGAAATAACGATTCCGCCTCAAAGTTACTCCCATATCCTTCCTGGAGCGCATTCTGATCAGGATGTCGAGGCGAATCCAGGCGTGGCGGCGAAGACCCTCCAGGATATGCATTGCTGGAAAGAGTTAGACGATGAGCAAGATGAAGATGAGGATAGGGTCGCCATCTTCCCCCTCCCCCCCCCCCCCGAGGAGCCTGCCAAGTAGTGGGGTGCGGAACTCGAGTAGGGTCGGAGGAGGAGGAGAGGAGGAGGAAGAGGAGGAGGAGGAGGAGGGAGGAGGAGGAGCAGGGAGGGAAGGAGGAATATCAGGAGGGGGAGGTCAGTTCTTCGTTCGATCCCACGCGGGATGCAAGAGCAGATCAGAGCAGAACCCCCCCTCATGTGGGGCGAACCTTCCTCCACATACTTTTGGTCTTCTCCCACCCCCTCCTCCTCCTCATGCTCCTGCTCATGCTCCTGCCCCTCCTCTTCCTTGTCCGCCTCCTCTCCTCGTGGTTTTCTAAATGTGGCTCTCGCCTTAGCGCCGCGTGCACTCGTCATAAACATTTGCAAGAGTGTCACGGCTTGAGGGCGGGTAGTTTTCAACATGCGTTTCCTCGCCTTAGCGCCATGCGCATTCTTTTTAACAATCACGAAAGCTTCACGGATTGAGGGCCGTTGGTTTTCAACATGTGATTCTCGCCTCAGCGCCGCGCATATTTGTTTTAAACATGTGCAAGCGTTTTACGGATCAAGGGCGGGTTGTTTCCAACATGTGGTTCTCGCTTTTGCGCCGCGCGGATTTGTTTTTCCCTACCATCCTGTGGTGGTGGTGGGTCTTCGTTTTGAAGAGACGGTCCCCGCGTTCTTTCCTTCCTTCCTTCCTTCCTTCATCCTCTCCCTCCTCCCTCCTCCCATCCTTGCCTCTGCCTTGCGCATGTCCCCGTCGTCGTCATCATACAGCGACTTGTCGGCATTTGTGGCAACACCGCGGCCGTATTCCCTCGCTCAAGTTCTAAAGGAATGCAAGCATTATTTGAGCGGGTCGGCGCCGACCTCACCAGTGCCCTCACCACTGCCATCATCGTGCGCGGCAGCTCGACGCCTTGCCCTGATTGCGTCTGCTCTCCTGCGCTGCACTGCCCCGCGCTGGAGTGCCGCTGCCCGACTGGCGAGGGCTCGCTGGCTTCTGCCCAGCCGACAGGCTGGTCAACCGAGTTTGTGGTCGTGCTCGTGGTGGGCGCCTTCGCGTACGGCATCGTCGTCGGCGGCTACTGCTTCAAGAGCTCGTTGACGGCCCCCGTGGTGCAGCCTGCACCCGCTCCAGCATCGCATCAGGAGGCCGTGGACACTCTCGACCTCGCGACTGCGGCGGCTGCCCAGGCGAGGAAGTTCCGCCGTTAGGAGCAATGGCTGCTCGCGCCGCTGGACAGTTCCACTACGTTCGGTACAACGTCGGGGGGCCCGCTATCTACCACGAGAGACTCACTCTACTGCCTGGGTACATCCTCACCCCTGACGATGATGACTATGCTGAGAGCGACTTGGCAGGTGGTGACTTGAGATCTGTGCATGACTCGGCGGGTCAGGGCGACGCGATCGTCGGCGTCGCCGCCAACAAGCTCTACAAGTTCAGGCGGCTGCCGTCTGCAGCCGTCGTCTGGGCTGCTGTGCGCCGCGGCGTCGCCCAGGGCCATGGGCCTCTGCCGCCATCGCCCTTCAACCTCGAGCTCAGCGCCGACAACGTGCTGGGCGTGGCGGCGGGGGTTCTGGCCTTGCCCGACCCGCTCGGAGCGGCTCCCGCTGCCGCAGCGCCTGGCGCGCTGGCCTTGGCTGGCGCGGCCGCGCCCCCCGCGGGCGCCCCTGGGCCGCCTGCCGCGGCGGCCGCTGCGCCCGTGGGCGGGGTGGGCGCGCTGGCTGCGGCGCTCGGTGCGGGGGGGGCGCCCTGCCTGCCGCCGCTGGCCCTCCGGGCGTCGGCGCCGCCGCCGCGGCCCCCGCGGCCCCGGGCGTCGCAGGGCCTGATACCCGCGTGATGGCCACCGTCGTCGACGCGCGGGGGTTGCGGGACATGCCTTTCAGTGACGCTGCGAAGCGCCAGACCGAGACCCCCCGCGCCGACTGGCCCGTGAAGGGCCCAAGGACCACGATGCGGGTGCTCCACTTCATGCTCCGCATGGCTGGCGGGGCGATGGCATGGCACAACCGCTGGGTGGCCACGACGCAGGCCCTAGAGACGGACGACGCCGCCAAGCTGCACGAGACGCTGTGCCGCGTCATCGAGACCTCGCTCTGCCACGACCAGCTGATCATCTGCGAGCTGGCCTCCTACGAGTTCCTATCGCGGCAGCTGCAGTTGGTGGAGGAGCGCTTCTTTGAGGGGCGCGCGCGCAGGACCCACCCTGCGCCCGAGGCCAAGGGCCAGGCCAAGGACGGCGCCGCGGCCGCGGCCGCCGACGTCTCCTCCGAGATTGGCCACTTCCTCGGCACTGGAGAGACGATGGGCAACTCGTGCATTTGCCCAGCCTTGATGGATTGGATCGCCGAGCAGATGAAGAGCGAGGCTGCCGTGGCAAAGGAACGCCGCAAGGCTCGCGAGGAGAGGGCCTTGCGGCATCCATGACGTTCCTGAAGGACGCTGGTCAGGAGGGGCCTCACGACGCGCCACCTGTTCGTGAGCCTGGCCAGCTTGGCCCCGAGCCCGTCGAGGCTCCACCTGGCTTGGAGTGGCCCACGCGAGGTGACCATCGCCAGCGTGACGTTTTTCCGCTTCCTCTGCTTCCAGTGGATGGGCGTCGCCATCTTCCGCTTGGTCGCGGGGCTCGTCTGCGCGCCGCCAAAGGCGCGGGCTGGAGAGAGTGGTGCAACGAGGGATTGTCTGCTCTCAACTGGCTCCACTGCGGCAAGGACGAGCCTTCCATGCCTGACGAAGGGGGGCCACCGCCTGCGGCCCAGGCAGCCTCAGTGGACTACATCGCGGGCTTGCACCGCGACTTCGAGCTGCCCGCCGCCTACTCGGAGAGAGGCCGCGATTGCGAAGCATCCCTCGTAGAGATGCTCGCACAGGCACCTGGCTACGCTGGTGACAGCGGTCGAGTGCGCCCCTACAGCACGCCGCTTGTGGCCTGGCCCGAGTCGACGAAGGCAGTCTCCACCTGCGGCGTCGTCTCCGAGGCCGACTCTATCGTGCTGCAGGATTGGAGGCAGAGTATGTTGAATCCCGAGTCGGTGGCGGCGGAGCTGCGCGAATCGCTGGGGGTTATCCGCCCCATATGTCGATCCCGAGCTGCGCTTTAAGCCGAAGTCCTACGCTGAGTTTTTGAAGCAACTGGAGGCCCACGGCATGATCACCTGGCGGGTCTCCAGCGAGCAGGCATCCTTCTCTACTGGTCTCTTCTTCGTGCAGAAATCAAACGGCAAGCTGAGGTTGGTGTTCGACACCAGGCTGGCCAACTGCAGCTTCTCGTGCCCGCCAGCCACTCGTCTGCCCTCGCCCAGCGCGCGGGCCAGCCTTGACTGCGACGACAGTTTTCATTTCGCGCAGGGCGACATTCAGTGTGCTTTTTATCATTTACGACTGCCAGCTGGCATGGAGTCGCTGTTCTCTCTGCCACCGATAAACAACAGATTCGTCGGCCTCAAGTCGGTCAACGGGGTTCGTCTTGGCATCAACGACTGTGCCCAGCCTCTTGTCACGGCCCTTCCCATGGGGTGGAGTTGGGCACTTCACCTGTGCCAGAGTGCGCTGACCAGAGCCCTGTTGGATGTCGGGTTCGGCCGTGACGATATGATTATGGATGGGGGCTGTCCTCGTCCCTTGGTCGCTGAGAAGGACGCGGTGTGTGCAGGATACGTTGACAACTTCTGTGTCGTATCCAAGTGTGCGGAGACAGCCGCGTCCCTGGCGCGTGCCGTTGCTGACCTTCTCACGGCCCGCGGGTTGCCTGTCTTGGAATTCCCCCCTGCGGTCAGTAAGGGGGTCTTCACGGGCTTGGAGATCGACGGAGCCTCTGGGATCATTCGTGTCCGTCCTGACCGCCTCGCGCGCACTCGTCAAGCCGTTCTCGGACTTTTGAAGCGTGGGCGGGCCTCTGCTGGGGCACTCAGCGTGCTCGTAGGCCACTGTACTTGGGGGATGATCCTGAGGCGCGACGTTCTGAGCATCTTTAACGCGGTCTATCGGTTCATGGGGGCTGTGGGACCTCATCCTGGACCCCTGTGGCCCTCGGTCGTCAGGGAGTTGTCGGCTGCCGTGGCCCTCATCCCGCTCTGGAGTGCCTCTACAAGGTCTCGCTGGCATTCGCGGGTGCATGCTTCTGATGCGTCGCCGTTCGGGAAGGGTGTCTGTGTCAAGGAGGTCTCCCCCACGCTGTCGTCGGAGGTCGGCCGAGTCGCCGAACGCTGGAGATATCGTCATGGGGATGCCGTGCTTGCCAGATCACATGCCCTTGACGTCGACGGTCGAGACGATGCTGCCGACGGTTGCCGTGCCGACACATGGTCTACTGCCTCTACTGCTTCGTCGTCTGGGCCCAGTGGGTTCCTCGAGGTCCCTGAGTCCATCTACGGGGCCGAGGGTTGGAAGACCATGCACTCTAGCCGTCATACCCGCCGTGGCTGCGATATCCTTCAGTACGAGGCGGAGGCCCTGGGGTTCAGCGTCCATCATGCTTCGAGGGCCCTGGGTGCTCATCATCATCGCGTCGTCTGCATCGTGGACAATTTGGCTCTAGCTCTGTCGCTCGGCAAGGGGCGGTCTGGGAGCCGACATCTTCTCCGCGCCCTGCGGCGCATCGCTGGCGTGGCCCTCGCCTGTGGCCTGTGCCTGCTGGTGCGGTGGGTGCCGTCAGAGAGGAATGTCGCGGACAAGCCGTCGAGGGAGGGCTTCTTCGTCGGCCCTAGCTTCGAGGACGTCGGGTCGCACCTCGTCTCGCGCCGCCCGCGGATCCCCCAGGGAGGTGATCAAGGCTGCGAGGGCGAGGCGGGAACATCCTGGTCCGCTGACGCTCCTGCGGGGCGGACTGTCGGTGCTGGAGGCCAACGCGGTCTCGGGGTCGACGGGCAGGAACTACCACGCCTCCGCCCTCAGGTTTCTGAACTTGTGCCTCTTGACCGCCAGGGGCTTCAAGAACAGCGTCGAGCTCGACACGATCCTCGTGGTGTTCTTCGTCCACCTCTTCCTCGACGGGTACGACAGTGCGACGGGCCGCGTCACGATGGCTTCTCTGAAGCACCATTTGCCGTCGATGCTGATGGGCAGCCGCCCGCTGCCACGGGCCTTTCGGGCCCTCCAGGGTTGGGCGAAGCTCGTGCCGCCGCAGATGCGGCTCCCGCTGCCGAGGGTCGCGACGTTCGCCATCGTGGGCGTGCTGCTGTCTCAGGGGCTTTTGTCGCCGGCGGTCTTCGTGGGGATCGCGTTCGACACGTACCTCCGCCCAAGCGAGGCCTACCGACTCACGGCGGCCTCCCTGGTCGCGCCGAGGTCGGGCTCCACGGAGGGCTACCAGCACTGGGCACTGTTGGTGAACGACACGGCGAGCGGGAGGCCTGGCAAGACGGGGGTCACCGACGAGAGCGTCATCGTCGACGATCCGCTCCTCTGGCCTCTCCTCGAGGCGCTTCGGCAAGGGCGCCGCGCGGAGGAGGGCCTCTGGGCCTTCACGCCGCACCAGCTGCGGCGCGTTTTCGCGGAGGCCCTGGTCCAGCTCGGGATCTCCGACCAGCAGACCTCCCTCTACTCGCTGCGCCACGGGGGGGCCTCCGACGACCTCCTCTCGGGTCGCCGCACGAGGAAGGAGGTCAAGGACCGCGGCAGGTGGAGGACGGACCAGTCTCTGAACAGGTACGCCAAGCGGGCGCGCATGCAGCAGCGGCTGGCCCAGCTCGACCCCGCGCTGGTCGACTTCGGGCAGAAGGTCGAGAGCGATCTGCTGGGCCTGATGGACGCGATGGCGAGGACGGGCATCTTCTCACTGCCGCTGCCGCCCCTCAGGCCGGCGTCGGCGTCAGCGCCGGTGCAGGCGCCTCCCGCGATGACCGACAAGTGGCTCTTCGTGCGAGGCGCCTGTGGCTACGTGCGCGGGCGCATGCCACAGTGATGCCGTACCTCATCATGCTCTGCACCTGTGTCCCCGACCGAGTTCGGCGAGTGTGCGAGGCCCGCGGGCTCGGCGCCGTTGCGGTGAACGTTGCTCGACATCGCCTCGACGACCTCGCTGACCCTCAGGTTCTGAAGGCTCTGACTGGCTGGGTGCGCGCCTCGGCTGTGCTTGGAGTCTGGGCATCCCTGCCCTGGGGCACCTGGGCGCCAGGGGCGTCGCGCGTCCGCAAGTTTGATTCTCTGCTGCACGTGAATAGAGCCTCAGAGGCCGCCTGTCGCGCCGTTCGAGTGGCCAGCGCGTTGGCTGAATCCACCTTCAAATTGATTGCTGAGTGTATCTTCCGCAGAGTCCCGATCATTTTTATGCACCCTGAGTCGAGCCTCATTTGGAGGCATCCCCGCCTGTCCCCTCTCCTTGCCTCGTCCTCCTCCTCCTGCTCCCTCGACGCGTGCATGTATGCGGGTCGCGTGAGACAGCGAATCCACCTTGTCGGATGGGGCGTGCGGGACCTTGATTGTCTCGCTCGTCGTTGCCTCTGCGCCCATGGCCTCTGTGATCGCACTCGGGGACGTCACCTGGGAGGCCTGGGACGTCCAGCACTGGGCGCCGTAGCTCGTGCCTCTGCTAAGGGTCTCCCCTCGGAAGTGGCCATTGCTGGCACTAAAATGATAGTGGCCGAAGCTCGTCATCTGTCCCGCGCCGCGAGATATAAGAAAATGTTTGGTCGATGAGTAATTCGGCTGTGGCCACCTAGGTAGGCTAGCGCGTGGTACCGTGTCTGTGCTTCACTGCTGGCGTATCCCTCGTGGCCGCCCTCCGCCGTTTGCACAAAGAAGAAACAAGATGGCCCCGAATCGTCCACATGCAGCGACTTGTCGGCATTTGTGGCAACACCGCGGCCGCATTCCCTCGCTCAAGTTCTACCCTGGGCCCCCCCACCCACTTGAGCTTTTAAAGTTTCTCCGTGTCTGTGCTTCACTGCTGGCGTATCCCTCGTGGCCGCCCTCCGCCGTTTGCACAAAGAAGAAACAAGATGGCCCCGAATCGTCCACATCATCATCATCATCAGCATCATCATCATCATCATCGACATCGCCATCGCCATGTCATCGTCGTCATCATCATCATCAGCATCGTTATCATCATCGACGTCATGATCACCACCGTTATCGTCACCATCATCGCCACAAATTTCGCCACACCCCTTACACGTCTCGTGCCCCCACAGGGAGCCTCATCGAAGGCCTCAATAGCGCTGTTCGCATGCGTCTCCACCACCCAGAACAGGGCTTCGCGGCCCCATAGGGAGCCCCACCTAAGGCTCTAGTGGCGGTGTTCGCATGCGTTTTCCCCACACAGCACAACGTTTCGCTGGCCCCATAGGGAGCTCCACTTCAGGCCCCAGCGGCGGTGTTCGCATGCGTCTCCCCCACCCAGGACAGCGTTTCGTGGCTCCACAGGGGGCTCCACCTACGGCCCCAGTGGCGGTGTTCGCATGCGTTTCCCCCACCCAGGACAGCGCTTCGCGGCCCCGCAGGGAACTCCACCTGGGTGGAGCAACCTGCGGAGCTGCGGAGCCTTGCATGGCGTAGTGTAAAGCAGGCACGCCTCATGGCCCACAGAGGGAGACACCGTCACACATTTCGCGCCCTCCCCATAAGAAACCCCACCGATGATTATACACGCGATCGCGGTACCTACAGCTGAATATGATTGGTTCCTTCGCCAGGCTTGTTAACAGTTGCAGGAGCTTCACGGATTGAGGACGGGTCGTTTTCAAAATGTAGTTCCAGCCTTAGCGCCGCGCACATTCGTTTCAAACATTCGCCAGATGTTCATGTATTCTCATGGCTAACGTAGCAGCATTGGTGTTTTGGACAATTCAGGATTGTCAGAGCGCAGCAGTAACATTGATTCGCGGTGTTGAATTCCCAGGAATGGTATCCTGGCACGATTTAGGATCGCCAAAACGTGACAGTCAGGTGAACTCGTGGCGTTGAAGTCCTGAGAATGGTGTTTTGGCACGCTTCAAGGTGTTCGCATTGTTTTTCCTCCAGCAGTGCAGTTCCCGCAGTGGAAATGACCCTTTTGCAGGGGCCTGTGAGGGGTCTTGGAGGGAGGGTCGATTCCAACACCGTTGATGCGTCTTGGGTTTACAATGGTCCTCCTCCTCCTCCTCCTCCTCCTCCTCGACCTCCACCTTCTCCTCATTCCTCTCCCCTTACCCTCTGGTAGGAGCCTGCTGGCCGGGGCGGACCCCGAGGGCGTTCACGCGGCTGGCGCCGTAGAGTTCGCGCTGCGGCGACCGGGGCCCCAGCTGCCGCCGCTGCCAGAGGGGGCCCGCGACGCCCCGGGGTCGCCAGAGGACCGAGCCGCCAGAGACCAGAGGGAGGCAGGGACGGGGAGGATGGAGGAAGAGGAGCAGGAGGAGGAGGAGGAGGGGGAGGAGGAGGAGGAGGAGGACGAGGCCGAGGACGAGGACGAGGACGAGGAGAAGGAGGAGGAAAAGGAGGAGGAGGAGGACGAGGATAATGAGGAGGAGAAGGAGGAGGATGACGAGGAGGAGGAGGACGAGGACGAGGACGAGGACGAGGAGGAGGAGGACAAGGAAGTGACGAGGACGAGGAGTTGGAGGAGGACGAGGAGGAGGAGGACGAGGAGGAGGAGGACGAGTAGGAGGAGGAGGAGCAGGAGGAGCAGGAGGACGAGGCGAAGGAGGAGGAGAAGGAGGAGGATGAGGAGGAAGATTGTAGGTAGTCAGAGAAACGATTGCGTTCACAGGGTTCGTTATTTTTCGCGGGCGTTCGGGTTTCGCCATTTGGTGTTCGAAGGTTTTCAGTAGGAGTTTCCTATTCCAGCGTCCGTCAGTTTCTTCGTTCGACGGCTTTGTTAGTCATGTGATGGTTTGTTTTTTGGCGTAGCGTTTGCCCCGTCAATAGTCAATGCCTTGAAACTGAAGATTCGGGGTGGCGCAGAATTTGTTCGGAAAAGGGGGTGTTTTCAAAATTAGGGCAGGGGTGAGTTATTCAGGTTTTCGTTGTGCATTATTACGGAATCGTCGTGTACTGGAAGAGGGAGGTTCGAAGGCTGGGTTGGGTCTAGAGAAACGATTGTGTTTACAGGGCTTGTTTTTTTTCGCGGGCGTTCGGATTTCGTTCCGTGGTGCTTGGAATTTTCCATGTGGATTCTCGCATTCCAGAATTCGTAGGTGTCCTCGTTCGACGGCTCCTGTAGTCGTGTGATGGATTGTTTGGCGCAGCGTTCGCCCGATCAACGGTTGATGCCATAAAATTGAAAAACCCTGGCTGACCGAGAGTTCTTGGGACAAGTGGGTCGTTATCAAAATTCGGGCAGGCGCGTATTATTCAGGTGTTCGTTTTGCATTATCATGCACTCGTTGTTTCGTTGTGTATGGGCAGAAGGAACTTCGAAGGCTGTGTTGGGTCTCGAGAAACGATTGCGTTTGCAGGGTTCATTGTTGTTCGCGTTCTGGGTTGCGTGGAGGCTTCGATCAGGATTTTTCGATTCCAGCGTCCGTAGTTTCTTCGTTCGGCGGCTCTTGTAATGATGTGATGGTCTTTGTTGCGGCGTAGCGTTCGCCCGATCAACAGTCAATGCCTTGAAATTGAAACCTCGGGCTGGCCGAGAATTCATGGGAAAAAATGGAGTTTTCAAAATTAGGGCAGGCGTGAGTTATTCGGGCGTTCGTTTTGCATGTTTCTGCGCTCGTCGTGCATTGGAAGAGGGAGGTTCGAAGGTTGTGTTGGGTCTAGAGAAACGATTGCGTTTACAGGGATCGTTGTTTTTCATGCGCGTTCGGGTCTCGGCGGCATTGACGAGATCAGGATTTGTCGATGGTGTTCAGTTTTTCCGTGGCGTTTTGTATGGAGTCTTCCATCAAGAGTTTCCGGTTCCAGTTTTTGTACATTTCTTCGCTCGACGGGGCAATTTTTCCGTTCGCCCGATATAGGTGACTCGTTCGACCGAGGAGGAATTCCCCGCTCGTCCGAAATATTTCTTCGTTCGCTGGGGGGAATTTCCTGGCTCGGCGGGAACATGTTCCTGGATCGCCCATCGAATTTTCTTCGCTTGGCCGAGAACATGCATCCGTTCGGCTGTCGACCAATTCTAAGCCTGCTTGGGTGTTTTCCTCCTCCCTCCCCTCCTCCTCCTCCTCCTCCTCCTCCTCCTCATCCTCCTCATCACCATCACCATCATCATCATCATCATCATCATCAGCATCAGCATCAGCATCAGCATCAGCATCCTCATCATCGTCGTCATCCCATCATCATCATCGAATCATCACCATCATCAGCATCATCATCATTGCAATCATCATCATCACCATCATCATCGTCATCATCGTCATCATCATCATCATCATCATCATCATCATCATCATCATCATCATCATCGTAATATTCACCGTCATCATCGTCATCATCATCACTACCATCAACATCATCGTCATCATTACCATCATCATCATCATCATCATCATCATCATCATCATCATCATCAGCATCAGCATGCCTCTGCGCCTCGGGCCCGCCGCTAGGAGGCCGCGCGCATCGCCGCGACGCAGGGCCTGTGGGAGTCAGACGAGGACCGCGGTCCGAGCCCGCTGGCCACCCCAGGAAGGTCGGATGCGCGCCTTTTGGGGAAGGCAGCTGTCCAGAGATCCAACGCATTGAAGAAATCAAGACGGAGGTTTTCGCTATTTTCGGCCTGCAAAGGCCCTCGATGGGCCCTGGCACCGTCAAAAAGCGACTCGGGATGAAAAACCCGTCCTGGGGAAGGGTTGAGACTTCTGGTAACCCTTCATTGAACAAATCAAGACATCGTAGCTCTGGGTTTCGGGTGGGGCTATGACGAGGTCAAATTTGTTCCAGAGCGTTCGGGAACGCTCTCAGAGCGTTCCGGAACGCTTTGAGAAGGCCGCGGCGCCCGTGACATTTTCCAGAGCCGCCGGAGGCGCGCCCTTGGGGGGCGGAAGTTTTTCTTTGACGCTCGCTGACGGGTTGCGAACACGGTCTGCGTTTCTGGGGCGACGGATATCGGAGGAGGGGGCTATGCTCGTAGGGTGGGAGCACACCTAAGCAGTCCAATCGTCTGTAAGATCAAACCTAAGATCAGAGCTTCTCGCGAGTGGGGTCGTCAGGGGTGCTGTTGACGGATCAAGCGCGCCCGCCGAGCGTAGTGGAATTTGGCCTTGGAAATCAAGTTGCGACCCTCCCCCCCAGCGACCTCCAAGTTTTCAGGCTCGTCGGCTCGCGGCGGTTCTCCAGCCCTGGACGTGTCTTCCAGCAGTTGCGCCTCGCCGAGAGCGTTCCAGGGTGTTGCCCGGATTGCCCCGAACGGCCGCTGGAGAGCTGAGCTGTGGCCCAAAAACCAGCAGGCATCCGAGGTGGGACGGGCATGGCTAGAAAGCTCAGAAGGCAATCGACCTCCGCTTCGGAGAAGCCATCTGAGCTTTCTCTCCGCGGACGATTTGTGTGCGCCGCACCGCGTTGGCGTCTCCCGAGGCGTCGTCGATCCGCTACTTGGGAATGGTGCGGTGCATAGTGTCGTCGGCCCTCAGAACCGAAGAATTATGCAACATAACGCGGTGGAGCGGGGTCTGACCGGAGTCCAGGCATTGGTACGGTGCACGTGCGCAGTTCTCGTATTCTCCGAAGCCACGGAGAGCTTCTCAGAAGGCCAGAGGGCTTCCGAGAAGCCCCGCCGCTTGCCAGTAAGGCTTGCCCCTCTGACTGCCCCCCTCGGCGCGCCGCCGACAGTAGCGGTCCTGCTCAGGCCCTCAGGGGGCTTCGAGGGCCACCAGGCGGGCAAGGAATCGGCCGAGTTTGCTTGTTGTTTGTCGGCCTCTGCAGCTCAGCATCGGCTAACCGATCCCCATCCACTGAGCCCCACCAGCCTACATCCCGCGCAGGTGGGGATGTCCCGCGAAATCCGCAGGGAACAGCATGGATCCCCACCCAGAGGGGTGAGTCGGCCCGTGGGGCCAATGCCATACCAGTGGGGATGGGGATCCCTTCAGCGGTGCCCGGCAGCGCTGGCGGCGGCCCCTCGAGAAGCCCGGGAAGCACTCTTGGCCCCTCCCCTCTGGCCTGCGGGGCCGCAGGCCCCCCGACCCAAGACCCGAGGGGGAAACGCAAACCCGTGGCGGCCGCTCTTGGCCGCCCTCGCGCTGCGAGGGCGGCGGGCGCGGCGCAGCGCAGAGGCTTTTTTTGTTTTTCTCTCGTCGGCGGCGGGGCAGAGGCAGTCCGCGCCGCAGTGTAGACAGCACAGTGTAAGACCGCGCAGACACGGTGAGACACCCAGGAGCGGCCATGCTCAGACCCTCCGCAGGGCTTGTCCGGGCGCGCGCGAGGTCACGGCGCATCGCAGACAGACCGGCGCAGTGCAGCCAGTGCTGCTGCGGCGAGAGGCCCAGGAGTCAGCTGGGACATCCGAGAGGCGTCGTGTGGCCGCCTTCGAGGCCATCTGGGGGGCCTCCCAAGGGTCTCTCGGGGGCCTCGAGCGGCCCTCTCGGGGGCCTCGAGCGGCCATCTCGGGGTGCCTCCGAAGGGCCATCTCGGGGGCCTCCGAAGGGCCATCTCGGGGGCCTCCGAAGGGCCATCTCGGGGGCCTCCGAAGGGCCATCTCGGGGGCCTCCACGGGGCCTCGAAGCCGCCGCTACGGCTTGTCTCGCGTCGGCCTCCGCCCAGCCCCGCGAGGCCACGTCGAGACGCCGAGAAGCGGCCTCTCCGCGGGCACTCCCCGCCGGGGGGGGGCTCGAGGCCCGCCAGGCGGGGAGGGCACGGGTCGAGCTTGCCCGCTGTTTGTCGCCCTCTGCAGCTCTCTTTGGGGCAGGCCGAAAAGCAGTCTTGGACAGATGAGCTGCGTAAGCATGCCGAGAGAGTGTGTGAGAGCAGTGCGCACGACGTTCGACGCCTCGCGGCAATCCCAGCAGAAGCCTGGAAAGCTGCCGTGCGGCACTACTGGCCACTGTTGCATCACTGACTATGTGCTTCAACACCCGGCTTGCATGCATTCATGCAGCTCCCCTGGCATCGATCTGATTTAGAATCTACAGTGGGGACGCGCATCAAGGGGGGGTGGCGTGGAGGAGGGGAGTGGGCGGGGCTGGTCACAAGCATTCCGCAAATCATAAAACAACGGGATCTTTGGTTTCCAGTTGTCTGGGCCTCTTGTCAGCTTGCCATTGGATGCTTGGCGGGCCAGCTGGCCGCGCGGCGAGGACTCCATCTGGGCTGGCGACGTCGCGCCCCCGAGGTTGAACGGCACCCGCTTCACCACCTGGGGCCGCCCCGCGGGAACCGCCAAACCGTGTGCCGTCGTTGCCAGACCCCTCATCGGGCCATGAAAAATGTACCATGGAATGTGCGTGTGTGTGCGTGTGTGTGTTCGTTATTTTCGGCCTCTTGGGGCCCTTACTGGGCCTCAAAACTGCCACAAAAGGTTCAGAAAACGGGCCCCGGGGAATCGGTTGAGACCTCTGGGCGGCGACGTCATGACAAAATCATGGCGTCGGAGGTGTCGTTTGCGTGGTTGGTTTTGGAGGTCGCTGCGGCGATCGCGGCGACCACAAACCTGGGCAGGGTCTTTGTCAAAGAATGGCATGCCCCTTTGCAGGCCCTCTCCGCGCTCTGCAATGTAGACGCGGCTTTCAAATCGACACTACAGCGACATATCGAGTTGTCAATGTACCTCCAAGAGGGGCAGTCACGTTTTATGTTAAAAGGTCGGTTATCACAACCACGCCGGCGCCAGTCACCTAGTCACCTGACTCTAGATCCGCCGTACTTCGGGCGATTTCGCACTTATGTAAGCAGGGATCAGCAGGGCGGATCTGTTCGCCCATGCCCTTTTGCTATTGTGGGAGAATCTGCCGTGTTTTTCCTTAAGGGTTCCAAAGCAGTAGGTTTCCTAGACGCCTCCCCCATACTCGCTTCCAGGGGAGATCGCGGATTTCCGCCGCCGAACGAGGCTGGATTTTTGGGGAGGGCACCTCCCCCGATCCATGGATTTGGCGACCGCACGACTAATCCATAGATCGCTAATCCATGTTTGCGCGCCCCCGACCAGAGAGGTTTGGGGGAGGCCTCCCCAGGAGGCCTCCCAGAGACCCCGAGAAATCTCCCCAGACAGGCCTCCCGAAGGTTCGGGGGAGACCTGTGGAGGAGCTCCCCCGAGATTGGGGGGAGGTCTGGGGGAGGCCTCCCCTGGTCCTCCCGGAGGCCGCTAGCAGGCCTCCCGCCAGACCTGGTGGAGGACCAGGGGAGGTCCGTGGGACGCGCCCGACGGGCTCCCAGGCGGCTGGACACGAGGCGACAGCAGCGGCCTGCGCGCTCGGGGGGTTGCCCCCCTCCCGCTCCCGCCCCCCCCCCCCACCTGGCGCTGCGGGCCTCTCGCGGTCTCTCTCCGCGTAGCCCCGCGGCGCCCGCGCGCGCGCCGCCGCGCGCGGGCACCGCGCACGCGTGCTCGGACGCGTGCCGCGTACGCAACGAATGGCACGCCGAGCGAGCCGAACGCGCGAGGCGACGCCGAGCGAGCCGAACATCCCCACCTCCCCCCCCGCGCGCCCACCTGAAGCCGCGCACCACGGGCCACTCTTGCCTATAGGGTCGCTCTTGCGCGTGGCCGGGAGGGGCCCCCCTGAGAGAAGCGGGCCCTGCAACGTCTCGGGCCGCTCTTCGGGCTCCCGCGCCCCCCTTGGGCCCACGACCGGCGCGTGGGGGCTCACCGCGCAGGGTCGGGCGAGGAGAATTATTCGACTAGACGAGAGAGTGACATTTCGCCGGAGTGACCTTTGGTGCGGGCACAGGTTGGCCCTCCGATGGTTGAAAACGAAGCGTTTAGAGGCTCACCACCGAAAAACTCACCCCAAGACAGGAGCAGCGGAAAGGCGCCAGCCAAAATAAATCAGGACCACGAGGCAACAGCGATGGACCGACGATTTTCGGTCCTGACAGATGATCCGGGTGCCGCCGAGAGCGGCGGCTTCCTTTGCTGAAGTCCAGAGGCGGGCAGGCTGGGCGACGGGCACAGCGGATGGCCCCGCTCTGAACTCACAATCCCCAATACCGGGAAAGGAGGCAGAAAAGTACGAAGACGAAAGAAGGGAGGGAGGGAACAGGGAGAACTTGAGACGGAGAACACATGCATAACACGTTATACAGACGGCGCATCTGCTGCTCCCCGCCCCCCCCCGATGTCCAAGGTAAAGGTCGGGGGGGGGAAAGGGGTGAGAGGTGGAGGCCCGAAAAAGTCATTGTATCTTATACAACACACATTTAGAGGCTCACCACCGAAAAACTCACCCCAAGACAGGAGCAGCGGAAAGGCGCCAGCCAAAATAAATCAGGACCACGAGGCAACAGCGATGGACCGACGATTTTCGGTCCTGACAGATGATCCGGGTGCCGCCGAGAGCGGCGGCTTCCTTTGCTGAAGTCCAGAGGCGGGCAGGCTGGGCGACGGGCACAGCGGATGGCCCCGCTCTGAACTCACAATCCCCAACCCACCGCTGATACGCACAGCGCCTGGATGATGTGGCCCAGGGCTCTGGGTGGGCGGGGTTGCCACGTCAGCCGAAATCATTCTGCCTCCACCAGACCAAAAAATCAAATGAGTAAAAGCATTCACTCTCGCGCCATCTTTGGACGCGGTGCCTGTCTGGCCAAGAGCTCCCGGCCACGAGCCATCACGGCGGCAGGCACAGCCGCCCTTGCGGCCACCAAGGCGTGCGTCTTCATGTAGCGCAGCACCGACTTCTCCGAAGCCCAGCGGCCCCGCCGCTGGATGGCCCACACCGTTCGGTAGCCCTCCGCCGCGTCGTGGCTGGGGCCGGAGTGCCTCGCGGAGTGGGCGGGGAAGGCTGCGATGCCGATGTCGTCACTGGCCTTCCGAAGGGCCCGACGGTAGGAGTCCACCGAGCAGCCGAAGACCAGCTCGCCCGGCTTCTTGGCGGCCTTGCGCGCCCGCAGCATGTCGGCGATGTGCGGGCGATCAATCAGCACGCCCTGCCTCACTCCCGTCTTGGTGCGCTCGTTCCGCTCCTGCACTCCCAGCTTGATGGCCACCACGTCGTTGTCGGCGTCCACGATGTCCTCGACCCGCAGCGCGAAGGCCTCCGCCGAGCGCAGGTAGGCGTCGACTGCCAGCGCTGCTGCGTCTGCTGCCTCCACGGCCCCGGCCAGCCTCATGGCCTCGTCCAGGGCGGCCCACACCTCGAGCGGCTGGGGCCCACCCTCGCCGGCAACGTGCATCTTGTGCCACGCCCTCAGAGCGCGGTTGGCGCGCGGAAGGCCCGTAGATAGCTCAGGCCACACGAACGCCATGCCGTGCACCACGTAGTCGCCCCTGTGCGGGCCCACCTCCTCGTCCTCGACCAGGTAGTCTAGGTAGACCAGGATGGAGTTGTCGATCTCCTCCCTGCTCATCATTGGAAGGTCGAGGTCCAGCGCGAACTCCAGGAATCGCCGCACGTTGGGCACGCAGCAGTTGAGGGCCGTCTTCTTCCCCACCGAGTAGGGCAGAAGCGAAAGCCCAGCCTCCGAGGTCTGCACGGGGCCAGATGATCCAGCTCTCTGACTCTCATTTCGTCGATTGGTGGCGTGCATCCGCCGATCCTGGGAATGGTGACGCAGACGACCATCGGCGAGCGGCATCCCGTGGCAGGACCGAGGGAGGACGCAGCAGGCCACGACGCTGAGCCACGTCCCGGAGACGGTCACCCTGAGGCCTCCAGGAAGGAGGCGGGCAGCACGTCGATGTCCCGTATGTTGCGCCGCCTCCGCTCGAGCGTCTCCTTGATCAGCAGCTCCACGGCCCTCTCCGTGAACTCCGCCTCGCGCCGCTCGCACCCGTCCAGCATGGCGTCCAGGTGACACTCGGCCAGCACGCGGCAGAGCTCGGACGAGTAAGCCTGAGCTACCCGCGTCCTGAAACGTCCCGTCTCGTCCTTCCCGCACAAGCTCGCCGTGTGCGTCTTGTGAATGCATGGGCGAATGAGCCGCTCCAGGTGCTTGGCTGTCCCTGATATCGTGGTCAACTTGAGCGCAGGACAGCCCCACATACACTGAGGAAAAGTCACCCTGTAGGCCCCGAGAACCTCCTCCCATTCCAGCACCTCGGGCGTTGCGAAGATCGAGGGGAACGGCGGCTTCCCAGGGTCGGCAGGATGCTCCAGCGAGACTGAGCCCCCTCGGAGGGCGATCGCCCTGAGTACGCGCAGGCTGCTCAACAGCTGCGCCGAGCCCATCTCCACCTTCCTCAAGTCGGCACCATGGAGACCTGGGCGGCCCCACGGGTGCGAGCGAAGGCGCACAGGCGGGGGTCCTCCAGGCTGGAAGCGCACCCTCGACCACGTAGCGCACGAAGGTCCAGCATGGCCTCCATCCACCTCCAGCTCGGCGAGCAGCTCCAGCCTCCGCACGTTCACCTCCTCGGACAGGTCGAACTCGGGCCCGAACCCGATGTCCACGTTCGTGCACTGCACCACGTACCCCCGACCGGCCGCGAGGCGGGCGAGCCAGAACTCCAAGTCGCCCGACCGTGTGTGGCCGCTGCAGAGGTGAAAGAAGCGCAGCACCTTCACCCTCACGGACCGGCCCAGCCGCAGCGGCGCGAAGGGATCCTCCTCCGCGATGTCCGCCAACTCCTCGATCACCTGCCCCGTCTCGGCGGGCAGCACGGTCTCCCCCTGCAGTCGCTCCTTCGGCGCCTGCCCGATCGGGAAGCCCCGGCTGGGGCCGTCGCTGTGGTTGCGGTCGGACGGCACCCAACGCCAATACTCCCTCATGCCGCAACCCAGGTCGATCGCGGCCATCCGGCGGCACAGGATGAGGATCGGCTTGCTGGCCGACCTGCCCTTGCTGAAGCCGCCCAGGCACACCATGGAGTCGGCGATGCGAAGGTGCCGGCGACCCCAGCTCGCACGCGACCGAGCGGAGTGCCTCACAGCCGCCAGGCCCGTCCTCATCTCCAGAAGGTTGATGTGCTCCTTCTCGTCCCAGCGCCAGCGAACTACCTCCTTCCACCTCGACATGTCGTCCCAGCAAGCGTGCACCGGCGGTACCCTCACGCGCATCCCGAGCTCGACTCCCTCGGCGACTCGCCGATACGCCTCGCCTTCTGCCCAGGAGTCCGCCGCCCAGGAAGACGAGATGCCAGTCCAGACGGTCCACCCTCCTCTGACAGCAAAGCGTGCCTCTCGACGCATCTCCTGGATGTCGGCCTGGGCTGAGATGATGGCCCCCCCGTAGAGGCTCGCGTCGAACATCGTCACCGCGGGGTCCCAGGGCATGGCCAGGTCGACAGACACCAGCGGCACCACAGCCGCTGCCACGGCCAGCTCGCGAAGGACCTCGTCGGGTAGCCGACGGCGGGGGCCCCCTCGGAACTCCATGCACCAGTGGTAGACCTCCGAGAAAACGCTCAGGGCCCCCCGAGTGATCAGAAAGCCCCAGGACAGGATACCCACGATCTTGGCCACCGCGTCCGGGAACTCCGACCTCTGCCTGAGGATCTCGCTCACCCCGGCCACGGCCAGCCACATCTTGTCCTGGTTCGGGGCGAGGCGTGTGCCCACGAAGTCTCCACCGATCATCCGAGCCTGTCCCGAGCAGTCGTCCTTGTGCACGTTGAAACCCGCGGCGTTCACCAGGTACTTGGCCCCCAACCAGATGTCCCTGATCTGCGTGGGCGGCTCGGCGTCGGCGACGGGAGGGTAGTCCACCCCGATGATGCCGAAGTCGTCGATGTACTCGTAGTGGGCCGCAGGTACCTCCCGACTGATCAGGGGCAGCGGACCGCCTTCTGCCAGACGCTGCTCTTCGGCGAGAGCGGGCATGCCCACGGAGGGACCAGAGTTGAACAGGTCCTCCATCGTCGTCTGAGCCATCCAGCAGGCCCACGAGAAACCCATCAGCGCCACCCGCACACCGACGTGCTCGCCCGACCCGCTCAGGCGGGCGTCCGCGGGGAGAACGTCGAGCAGCTCCGAAGCCCGGACACCAGGCAGCACGAAGTAGGGCGCGATCGCCTCGCCCAGGTCCAACGTGTAGTAGAAGTCGGGGAGGTCGCCAGTACCAAAAACCATTCGAGCGCCCTCCTCCGTCATCTCCTCTGAAACGTCCAAGAACGACATGGCACTGACACCGCCCATTGCACACCACGGCGGAGCCCGCCATCGTAGGTTGGAACGCCGCTGATCGAAGACCAAACGCAATGACACCAGAGGTTCGCCGTCCACGATCTCGGCCTTCTTCACCACACAGAAGAGCCCAACCTCGTCCACCTTGGACTCGCAGCGGCACAACATACCAGCCAGAGCCATGCGCCTGGCCAGCATCAGCATGTCCTTCTTGCGGCGGAAGTGCGGGTCCACGTAGTTCTTCACCTCCGCGGCCCTGACGCACTCCTCGCCATCCTCCTTCAGCATCTCCCTCTCGAAATCGTCCAACATCTGAGCCACTCTCGGCGACACAGACCTCGCACTCACCGGCATTGAGCCCAGAGGAGGAAGAGCGACCCGCTCCCAATGGGCGGGAAACGTTTCGCCCCGGTCTGGCAGTCGTACCTGTCCACCAGCACACCTCCTCCGCAGCTCGGCCAACCGTTGGGTATAGGTCGACCGGGATTGGTTCTCCGCCGCCGAAGCGGCGGGTCGCAGCCGCAAGATTGCGGCTCCTCGCTCGGGCGTCGAGGGAGGCGGTGGTAGGCGACGTACCTCCTCCAGCACACGCTTCGAGAGGTCCCCGTCCATGGTGCTGGGCAGTGGGCCTTGACCCCAGGTCTCCCCAGGATGCAAGAGCTCGTCGCCTAACGTCCCACGATAAAGTTGGCGGAGTCCCAGCAAGCAACGATTGGCCCGCTGCGCAATGTCCACCTCCTCCCGCCAACGTGAAAGTACCCGCCGTGAGCTCGACGTTGGCCTCTCCGGTCGTGGAAAGAGCACCACCTCCGACAGGATGTCCCGCCTCCTCGACATGAATAACCCAATTCGTCGTGCAGTAGATCACCTGCTGGAACCCGACGCTCTTGCCGAAGTCCCACAGACTCGAAAGCCAGAAGTAGAAGAGAAAAGTTGACCAGCCACGATGACGGTGCCGATCGCGTGCAGGGGCTCCTGGCGGACCTTCGCCAGTCAGCCCCGTGGGGTGTTCTCCGGGGCTCACGGCGGGCTCGCACACCCGCCGTCCAGGTCCGTGCGTGCCTTGATCAGCTGCGCATCTCGACCCATTGCCTTCTTCACCTCTTCCTCGGCACTCATGACCCTGATCGTGCTCTCGTCGGCCAGCTGCGGGTCCAAGCGACGCGCCGCCTCCCAGTCGACCTTGGACTTCCAGTTCTTGGCGTCCTTGGGCCTGCTCCAGTCGTCCCGGCAGTGCACATTGCGGTAGGCCCTCACCAACGCGTACCCCTTGCGGACCAGCCTCTCGAAGCTCACCTGGTTCAAGAGCCCCTTCTGGCGGTCCGTCATGAGCATCGTGTCCACGGCCGCGAAGGTCGCAATCATCTCCCGCGCGGTGTTGCAATCGGTGAGACCACGATCCCTGATGTAGTCCCTCGCCCAAGCCTCCGCCGTCTTCCCGGTCGAGTAGACCTCCGAGAGCACGTCCGGCGCGATCCTCTCCCTGTAGCCTTCCGGCATCTTCGTGGCCCACTCCGAGGCCGGGCACTCCTTGAAGTCCTCCAGCTGCTCCAGGAAGACCTGCTGCGGCATCTGAGCCTTGAACCTCATCCGCTTGATAGCCAAGGACACCGCCTCGGCGGGCTCTGTAGCAGCACGCTTGTCGGGAGTCTCCATGGGCACCGTCGCGTCCCCGCGGGCCGGCGATGTGGGGCCGTCCCCTGGGCCCACAGGCGTAGCAGGAGAGGGTCCCGCCGCTGCCGCAGAAGATCCCGCCACCGCACCTCCTTGCAGGCGCGCCTCGAACTCGTCGAGCCGGCTCAGCATCGACTGGATCTGCAGCTGGTTGGCGGCCGCCACTTCGGCACCACGGTCCGCGCTCGATGACACCATTGCCGACCGCCTCAGCTCCCGAGCCCGCTCGGCAATCCTGATCTCGTTCAACTCCGCGGCCATCGCCCTCTGAGACTCGGCTAAGTCGTCCAACTGGGCCACGAGAGCTGCATCGGGGGCCGCCGCGACGGGATGAGGAGACCCCGAAGGTGGCGGCAAAGGAGGCCCCACGACAGCGGCCCCTCCGACGTCTCCGACCACGGACGATGCAGAGGACGAAGCCACCGATGAATGACCAGGCTCCTCCCCTTCCTGCATCTCGTGGGCACCCCAGAACATGAGCAGGATGAGCGCTAACAGTAAAGCAGCCCAGCGACGCAGCGGCATGAGCTTCCGAGCCCAGTCCACCCACTCGCCTCCGTAGGACACCCATTCCTGGATCGTCTCGGACGACTCGATGAGCGCGTCCCGACAGGCCACCATCCAGCTCACGAACGCGAGCCAAGTCTCCACGATCATATCCACCACCCCCAGGTACTTCAGAGCTTCGAACAGCACGAAACCCAGCGCCAGCAGCCCCAGCACACGGTACGGCGAGCGCAAGGCCCACCGCAGCGTACGCAATGACGAGCGTGCCGAGCTGGCCATCGCATAGACCACGTTGATGGCGACGGCCTGCTGGGCCTGACGGCCCGGTCGATACAACTCCAGGGCTGGAATAGTACCCGCTCGCAGCCCGTCCGTAGCTTGCTGCGTGAAACTGTTCTTCTGCACCTGCGTGAGAGCCGGCAGCGCCTGCCAGCGGATCCCGGGCACGGGATCGGAGAAGACCGTCGTCTTCGCAGTGATCGTGATGGTACCCATGGAAAGATCTGGCAGCAAAACCGCCCAGCAATTCCCCGTCTTCCGTCGAACTAAGAAGATCTCCTGGCCATCCGTCGCGCTCCGGCGGTAGTAGCGTCGGCTCCATACCTCCACTGGCATCACCCGCTCCGGCGTGAAATCCTCACCCTCCAGCGGATCCTCTTCGGGACTCGGCGGATCACGGACCACGGTCACGAGCGTCCAGAGGAACACCAGGAGCGGCCCGCCGCACCGCGCCGTCGCGAGGATTCGACCCCCGCCCTCTGGCAGGCACGGCGCCTGCCCAGCAAGGAACAAAGGGAGCTCCCCGCACTCAGAGCCCACCAGCTCCCAGGACGAGCCAGCAGAAGATATCGCACTGCCCGCGCGGGATGGAGAAGTCGAGCCCACTGACTCGAGCTCAAGCGAAATGGGCATGAACGCTTGAGCCCCAAAGAACTTGAGACGGAGAACACATGCATAACACGTTATACAGACGGCGCATCTGCTGCTCCCCGCCCCCCCCCGATGTCCAAGGTAAAGGTCGGGGGGGGGAAAGGGGTGAGAGGTGGAGGCCCGAAAAAGTCATTGTATCTTATACAACACACAGTAGCAGCGGCTTGCGCGCCCAGGTCTGGTCTCCCCGCGGCCCCCAAAAAGCCGCGCACCAAAGGTCACTCGTACCCAGGGTCACTCTTGCGAGTAGTCGAATTATGCACATACACCGATCCTGGCCAGGCCCATCCTGGGCCCTGGATCGGTGTAGATTTCCCCTTGGCCAAGCCACGAAGGCGTATGCACCGATTTTGGGCCCAGGATGGGCCTGGCCAGGATCGGTGCACTGTATGTGCACAGTTCTCTGTCCTCTAAAGGGAAGAAGCCCTCAAGGAAACGGGCCCTGGAACAGGTTGGCAGTTTTGTCGGGCTGCCCCGGGGCCTTGCGCAGGTCTCGGGATCTCGGGGCTGTCAGGCCAGGCGCAGGATGGAGATGGATGGAGAGGGCCCTGGGAGTTTGGAAGGTTTGTGGAAATTTTGTGGAAGGTTGTTTTGGAAGGTTTTTGGAAGTTGTTCGGGAAAACCTTTCAACAAACCTTCCAAAAACCCTCGTCACGAAAAGCCCAGGATTCCTGGAACCTCCCAAACCTTCCAAAAACCATCGTCGCGAAGAATCCAGGATTCCCGGAACCTTCCAAAAAACCTTCCAAAAACCTTCGTCGCGAAGGTTTGAGAAGGTTTTGTTGAAGGTTTTTGTTGAAAAGGGTTTTGGAAGGTTTTTGGAAGGTTTTTGGGAGGATTTGTGGAAGGTGTTTGGAAGGTTTTTGGGGAAGGTTGTTTGGAAGGTTTTTGGCATGTATTGGGCGGTTTCGCGACATGTTGGAAGGTTTTTGAAAGGTTTTATGGAAGGTTATTGGAAGGTTTCTGGAAGGATTTTGAAAGGTTTTTAGAAGGTGTTTGGAAAAACCTTCCAAAAACAGTCCTCCCCCCCCCCGCTCCCGGAAAACCTTCCAAAAACCTTCCTCGCGAAGAATCCAAGATTCTTCGTGACGAGGGTTTCTGGATGGTTTTTTGGGGAAGGTTCCAGCAACCTGCCCGCCCGACCCGACCCGCCCGTTAGGACCCGACCTGGCCCGACCCGACCCGCCCGTTAGGGTCTGCCTGACCCGACCCGACCCGCCCGTTAGGGTCCGCCCGACCCGTCCCGCCTCGACCTGATCTGTTTTGGTTCTCGCGTGTCGCTTCGTGGATGCATCATACTTTGATGTCCCGCCGACCCGACCCGACCCGCCCGTTAGGGTCCGACCCGACCCGACCCGACCCGACCCGCCCGTTAGGGTCTGCCCGACCCGTCCCGTTCCGACCCGACCCGTTAGAGTTTTGGCGTGTCCATTCGCACATGCATCATACTTTAATGTCCCGCTCGGCCTACCCCCTAGGCTTACCCCAGGCCTACCCACCCCTAGGCATACCCCCTAGGCCTACCCTAGACCTACCCCTAGGCCTACCCCCTGGGCCTACCCTAGACCTACCCCTAGGCCTTCCCCTAGGCCTACCCTAGGCCTACGCCTAGGCCGACCCCCCAGGGCTACCCTAGGCCTACCCCAAGGCCTTCCCTCTAGGCAAACCTACGTCTACTCCTAGGCCGTTCCCTCAGGCACACCCTAGGCTTACCCCCCGAGGCCGCCCGCCCGACCCGACCCACCCTTTAGGGTCCTCCCGACCCCACCCGACCCGCCCGTTAGGGTCCGACCCGACCCGACCCGACCCGCCCGTTAGGGCCCGACCCGCCCCGTTCCGACCCGACCCGTTAGAGTTCTCGCGTGTCCATTCGCGAATGCATCATACTTTCATGTCCCGCTCTATCTGGCCCGACCCGACCCGACCCGCCCGTTAGGGTCCGCCCGACCCGTCCCGACCCGACCCGCTAGGGTTCTCGCGTGTCCTTTCGCACATGCATCATACTTTAATGTCCCGCCGACCCGCCCCGACCCGGCCGTTAGGGTCTGGCCCGACCCGACCCGACCCGCCTGGTAGGGTCCGCCCGACCCGACCCGTCCCGCCGACCCGACCCGTTACGGTTCTCGCGTGTCCATTCGCACATGCATCATATTTTCATGTCCTGCCCTCCCGACCCGACCCGCCCGTTAGGGCCCGACCCGACTCGACCCGACCCGCCAGTTAGGGTCCGCCCGACCCGCCCCGTCCCGACCCGACCCGTTAGGGTTCTTGCGTGTCCCTTCGCGCATGCACCCGACCCGTTAGGGTCCGCCCGGCGCGACCCGACCCGCCCGTTAGGGTCCACCCGACCGGTCCCGTCCCCGTCCCGACCCGACCCGACCCCTTGGGGTTCTCGCGTGTCCATTCGCACATGCATCATATTTTAATGTCCCGCCCGCCCGCCCCGACCCGCCCGTCAGGGTCCGACCCCGCACGACCCGACGTTAGGGTCCGCCCGACCCGGCCCGTCAGGGTTCTCGCGTGTCCTTTCGCACATGCATCACATTTTAGTGTCTCGCCGACCTGCCCCGACCCGCCCGTTAGGGTCTTGCCCGACCCGACCCGATCCGCTCGTTAGGGTCCGCCCGACCCGACCCGTCCCGCCGACCCGACCCGCTAGGGTTCTCTCGTGTCCACTCGCACATGCATCATACTTTAATGTCCCTCCGACCCGCCCCGACCCGGCCGTTAGGGTTCGGCCCGACGCGACCCGGCCCGCCCGTTAGGGTTTGCTCGACCCGACACGTCCCGTCCCGACCCGACCTGTTCGAGTTCTCGCGTGTCCATTCGCACATGCATCGTACTTTAATGTCCCGCCCGCCCGACCCGACCCGCCCGTCAGGGTCAACCCGTCCCGACCCGACCCGCCGGTTAGGGTCTGCCCGACCCGACCCGACCCGCCCGTTAGGGTCCGCCCGACCTGACCCGTCCCGTCCCGACCCGACCCGTTAGAGTTCTCGCGTGCCCACTCGTGAGTGCATCATGCTTCATTGTCCCGCCCGCCCGCCCCGACCCGCCCGTCAGGGTCCAACCCGACCCGTCTCGTCCCGACCCGACCCGTGAGGGTTCTCGCGTGTCCACTCGCACACGCATCTTATTTTAATGTCCCGCCCGCCCGACCCGACCCCCGACCCGCCCGACCCGACCCGCCCGTTAGGGTCCGACCCGTCCCGACCCGACCCGCCCATTAGGGTCTGCTCGACCCGTCCCGTCCCGACCCGACCCGTGATTGAGCGTTGCGTTGCACACGGAAGCGCGGCCAGCGGGCGGACGGCGGCGGGCGGCGGACAGGCGGCAGTCGGGCGAGCGGCGGGCGGGCGGATCGGCGCAAAGCTCTTAAGGACTCTCTCTTGCAGCGGGATGCACCTACCCAGCACTCAACAGCGTCCGCGTGCAACGCGACGCCCTGTACTCAACGGCTCCCGTCTCCAACGCGATATTTAGTACGCAGCGGCATCCCGCTGAAAGACAGAGTCCTTAGGAGATCTACTGGAATCCGCCCGCCCGCCGCCCGCCCGCCGACCGCCCGCCGTGCCTCCGCGTCCAACACAACACTCAGTACTCAACAGCGTCCGTCTCCAACACAGCTTCCAAAAAACCTCGTCACGAAGGTTGTTGGGAGGTGTTTTTTTATATAAGGTTTTTGGAAGTTTGTTGGAAGGTTTTTTATGTGAAACAGGTTTTGGAAGGTTTTTGTTCGAAGGTTCTGGAAGGTTGTTGGAAGTTGTTTTGGAAGGTTTGTTGGAAGGGTTCTGCAACGTGTTTAGAATGTACCGGACGGTGTCGCTAAATGTTAGAAGGTTTGTTGGAAGTTTTCAAGGGAGGTGTTTTTAAGGTTGCTCTAAGCTTTGTTAGAAGGTTGTTGGAAGGTTTTTGGAAGGTTGTTGTAAGACTTGTCTGAAGGGTGTTGGAAGATGTTTGGAAGACTTTCGGAAAAACCTTCAAACAAACCTTCCAAGAACCCTCGTCAAACCCTCGTCACGAAGAATCCCGGATTCCTGGAACCTTCAAACAACTTTCCAAAAACCCTCGTCATGGAGGTTTTTGGGAGGTTGTTCGTAAGGTTTTGGAAGTTTGTTGAAAGGTTTTTGTTGAAAGGTTTTTGGAAGGTTCTTGGAAGGTGTTTGGACGTTTTCTTGAACAGGTTCTTGGAAGGTTTTTTGGGAGGTTGTTTGGAAGGTTGTTGGAAGGTGTTTAGGATGTATTGGACGGTTTCGCTACATGTTGGAAGGTTTTCGGAAGATTGTTTGGAAGGTTTCTGGAAGTTGGAAGGGTTTGGGAAGGTCGTTTGGAAGGTGTTGGGAAGGTTTTCGGAAAAACCTTCCAAAAACCTGCGAAGACAACATTCCTCACGAAGAATCCAGGATTTCTGGAGCCTTCCAAAAAAAACCTTCACAAAACCTTCGTCACGAAGAATCCAGGATTCCCAGGAATCTTCCAAAAAACCTTCCCAAAACCTTCGCCACGAAGAATCCAGGATTCCCGGAACCTTCCAAGAAACCTCCCACAAATTTTCGCCACGAAGGTTGTTGGTAGGGTTTTGGGCCAACCCCTCCTGGATTCTTCGTCACGAAGGTTTTTGGAAGGTTTTTTTTGGAAGGGTATTTTGGAAGGTGTTTGGAAGGTTTGTTG